CCAGCGTGGAGGTCTCACCATCACCAGCGTGGAGGTCTCACCATCACCAGCGTGGAGGTCTCACCATCACCAGCGTGGAGGTCTCACTATCACCAGCGTGGAGGTCTCACCATCACCAGCGTGTTGGTCTCACCATCACCAGCATTAGGCGCAGTTTAGCACTGAATCTGCGGCAGGTAATATTACCCAGGTACAGTATATGGGAAGGCTGCGCGAAAGACTGCCGTGGCCTTTTGGTTAGGACGTTATTTTATGGATCTTACATGCTCTTTGTTGACATTATGGCAGTAGAAACCATAACTAAAAGTGACTCCTGAAACACATGACAAATTTTGTTGATATACAAATGCAGGATTTTCTGCCTGTGTAATAATAATAAATAATAATAACAATAACATTGAAGGAAACACACAAGGACCCATACTCATTTTTTTAAATATGTACTTAAAGAAAAACCTCAGATGGTTAAATGTGCAATTCACCTTACCTACATTATAAGTAATTAATAAAGCTTAAATACAAAAATACGCCTGCATATTTGTTCACCCAGAAACAAAAAGGTCTACCATCTCAGCAGACTCTTTTCCAAGCATGGTTTGACTTTGCGAGGCCCTGCAATTGGCAGGTAATACATTTGGCCTTCGTCCAGAGTCACCCCGCCCAGCTCCGAGTGTTTAAAAAGCCCGGTGTGCCAGGAAAAAAGGATTCCCTATTGCTGAAGGACTTGAAAAGCCAGGCGGGGAAAGGCGATCAAGAGCAGATATACCACGGAGAAACTCGGAAGATGTTTCCGGCGTCCACGGCCGGAACATGCGCAGAGTTACGGCGATGGACAGCAGGGGGATGCGGACAGACTGAATCCGGCTAAAGAATAATAATGAAATCAAGATCCACATAATGGTACAAAGACATTGGAGAATTTAACTTTTTTTGACACGTCGCCCGTAGCAAAACAAATGGTCCACTCCAGTAGACTTTAATGGCTCGCAGTTTTAATACATTAAGTAGAAATATAGGGCACTTGAAGTTCAGAAATGGTCCACGAGGGAAAGATAAATTTATTTGCCCATTTATGGGCTCTCTCTCTCTCTCTCTCTCTCTCTCTCTCTCCACGGGCTGCATCAGGTCTCAGGAGAAGAAAAGCGACTTTCCTCCGGCATGATGTCATCTGATCGCCGTGTGGCTACAGCAAGGTTACCCAGACCGTAAATCAATGAACATCTAATAAAACACAGATAAAGGAAAGCGATCGGCTTTATAATCAGACCCGACCTCATCTGTAGCGGACGAGCCAGGTCAGTTCGACACTATTTCAAAGGCAAGGCTGCAAACGCGCTTCGCCGGGCGCCGGCGGGTGGCATCGACGGACGGGGCCACCAAAGGATGCCAAGGATGCCTAAGGCGAAATGTCCAAGTTCATTTCATAGCGATCATGAGCGGCGAGGCGCTCTAAACGAGGATCGATAATGAAATTAAACGTGATTAACGTTGCCATCGTTATAAAGAATCGTACATTTAATATCGATGAAGACAAAACCACTAAACTTGCGTCTACTGTATTGGTGGTATCAGTAAAATAATAAAAATAGGTTTTTTAAATTAACAATGTGGCTCTTCATGTATATAGAGCTTAATCAATTTTTAACAAGGTTAAGGACCCATCATTCATGTTAGTTAGCCAATTTTCGAAATGTATTTGATATGGATAATCCAGTGTCAACACTGAAGCAGTGAACCAAGGACAGATCGATGTCTGTGTCCGTCTCCACATGGGTGCTGCTTTCAGGATTTCCGTGATATTTGTTTGCATTTTACAAGCCGTGTAATAAATGTCACTTGTCAATGTGGAGAGCATCCCTCGTTGCACTCCGGTCTCCGAATGTCCGCTGGAAACAGAAGCTCACCCGGCTCTCCTTTCCCTCTTTACATCCAGAACATAACGCTAATATAAGTGTATATTTATACTCTCCGATGGGGGCTGCCATTCTCGCCGGGTCTGTCAGTTTAATTGAAGAAAACCGGAGACAATAGCCCAGAAAGCATTACATCATGCTCCTCCCTCCCCGCAGTTTGACTACAACGCTTTCGTCTGCACAGTCTGACAAGCTGGATTTCCCCTCCTTTCCCCGGGTTTTCCCCGGTAATAAACGAGGATGAAATTATGCAAAACGTAGGTGGTTAAGCGTGCCTTCATTGAAAGCAAGCTGTTTCACTCCAGTCTCATGCACATCTGCAAGAAGTTTCCCTTGCACCGCCCCAAAAGAAATCCTTATTCATTCACCCATTTCGCTTCCCGTACAACAGGTCATGAATCGCACGATACTGAGCAGTGCCGAGTTGGGGAAAAGACGAAATGTCACGCCTTTGATACTTACGGTGTGTCTCTGTATCCGCTCCTACAACCAGATCAATGACAGCCGCAGTCCCCACCGCTTAATGCAATCATACAGACGGCCGTATTCCCAGTGCCCCTTTTACGGGAAGGATACTGGCGATGCCGGAGGAAACGCCGCGATTAAATCCACAGCTGGCATTTTTTGCAAGAAACACTTCAAACTGTCCGGCTTTGCAGTGACATTACATTTTCCAAAAATACCCATTGGTGTAAAGATGGCATGTAACACTCTGTGCACTGGGAAGCTCGGCCCGGTAAAGACCATTGTTTGAGCAGATGGAGGGGAGCTGGGTCTTAAAGTTGCAGATGTGCATTTTTAGAGTAAGGAGTAAATCCCAGATTCTTTGAAATGCAAATGCGGAGTATAACAACAAATCTTAATTTGACTAATGTGGACATACAAATTAATGAATGCTGCACGGTAGAATCTGAGAAAGAAAATAATGGCATGAACCAAAACGTATGCCGAACACCAAAGCAAAGATTTAGGACAGGGCTATTACTACAAATAAGGCTTTGAAGAAATTCTGGGGGCGACTGTAACAATAGTCAGCAGATTATATGAATGATATTGCAACATTTTCAGTTTTTTATTCACATAATAAAGGAATGGCTTTAATTTTATGCAAAGTACAGGCGCTCCAATTTGGAGAATCGCAGATATTAAATGTAACTACAAACACTAGTAAAAAAAAAGTGTTGAAGTGTTCCGGATCCCCTTACCTCTTTGCTTTACAGCAGTGGTCTCTGCCAAAACAGTATCATGCGTTCACCTCCAGCAATTCCTTGCACATTTCTCAGATAACACTTTATTATACAATACGGCGACTTTAAAGAGTTTGTGGAAGCAATATCAGAACTAGATTGTGTGTCAAGGTATGCACACTTCAAATAGGTCCTGAACCATAGGAAATGGCTGATTTGCTGATTAATTGGATTGCCGGTGCGCACGAGACCGGTTATGGCTGTAAGGAAACAAAAACAATTAACAGCAGTTTTGCGTCTTCACCTTTTTTTAACTTGACTTTTTTTCCATCGTGAACATGCTCAGATGTAGCCTAATTTAAATGCATAACGTCACAAAATTAAATTTTTGAATTATAAAGTGGTACAGTATACCTAATTTTAATATGTATTCTGTGTGCCCTGCAATGGACTGGCACCCCTTCCGGAGGGTAAATCCACACTAGGGGCGATTCTTCTTTTTCACCCTTGGGGGGGGGGGGGCGGGTGAGTTTGTACCCTCTGAAGAAATATGGAACGTCACCCCCCCATGACAGAACGGGGAATCCCCACGATAAATTTTGCCGAGCTGGTGGTACGAAATGTATACGCCAATCCGGGACAAACTGCTGACGGGTTTTAGAAAAGCCATTTTTTCAGGCGAGTTGAGACAAAAAATAGGGGGCGCTAAAGCCCTCCTAAACAGGGCCTAGAACTGGTTGTACCCCTGCCTAGTGTCCTGGGATAGGCACCAGCACTGCTTCAGCTCAGTACTGGAAAAGCCAGTGGAAGGAGGAGGATGGACAGATATTTGACTTTAACAGGCTGCTCACATAGGTGCAGGGACTTTCATTATAGAATAGCCCCAGGCTTTTGCTTTGTACTGAATTTGACTATTGAATTTCTTGAACTGTAAATATTTTACTTTGATAAATAAATAGCGGGTTGCCATAGTGCCCACATACCTCCAGGGTTGTTGGTTTGAGTCCCTCCTCATACTGACACTTTTTTTCTTCTCCTGGTTCAAAGAGACTCTGTTTTATCAGTTTTGTGTGAATATGTGTCCTGTGATGGACTGGCATCTGGCCCTGGTCTGGGACAGGGTCCAAGCTCACTACGGCGCTGCATCAGATAAGAGGGTATGCAGAATAGATGGACAAAGCGATAAGTAGCAGTTATCATTTTCACCTTTTACCAATTCCATTCACTTCAAAATACTTTATTTGTCCCCAGAGAGGCCATTCAAGGCAAGCAGGCAAGCAATAAAATGCACACACATTTCATCAACACACACACACGAAAATGCTAGCAATCTAAAATCAATCTACTGAAAATCTAAGACGATATAAAGCAATCTCAATCTCTGCCTGCAAAATACTGACAAAGAAATAAATAAATATATCCTGTACCGCATTTATCAACAAAACACCACAAACAACATGAAATCATGCAGTGACTTAAATAACTTTTGTACATTTATAAGATGGTATGAAGTGAAGCTATTGAAGATACAGTAGGTATGTTTTCATCCTTGGTGCAAGGATCTAGGAGCAAAATGACACGTCACTGCTTCAGAAACAAAGGGGGATGTTCACAGGGTACAGTTTGTGAGAGTGCATGTCTTCTGCTGAGGTGTGAACCCAGTGTCACTGCGACGTCACTGGATACACGGCGTGCCTGGGTGCGAATGGGGTGCCAACGTGCTTGTTGCTGTCCAGGGTGCTGCACGGAGGACTCAGCTAACGTTGCCGTCCCTCTGATGTCCGCTGAGCTTATGTGCACTTGGTGAAAAACCCCAGACTCCGAAAAACTGGTTCACTGCTCTGCAGGCAGCCAGGAAATTCCAGGCACGGCACGGCTCTCTGAATACATGACAGTGGTTCTTAACTTGCATATTTTCAGAAAAACACACTGGTGTATCCTTATAGGATATTCACACTGCTCTGTATAATACAGTCTATAATAATAACTTTTCAAAACACAATTTAAACAAATCTATTTTTTAAAAGTACTGTTATAATAAGCATTACTTACAGTATGTAATTACTTCATTTTTCCATTTACTTGTTATATGGCACTAATATACCCAATATTTATTATACTATGCTTGCCGTTTGTACCATTTCCATAGGATTCCTGTAAGATTATTGCATTCACAGAACAGCAATAGCAATAATAATATTTTTTATTATCTTACAACTAAGTCATTTATGTTAATTTACCAAGTCTACATATATAGAGGAGTGACCCATGGTACATAATGAATCCAATTTTCTTTGTCAAAGGTCAAGACTCTCAAATACTATTCATTCCATTAGACGTGCCCTTTCTGCTTCTGGACATGTAGATTAACCTATTTGCATTTCACTTCCACAAATGCTAATCACTCATTAAAACCTCAGCGACCCCTAGAATAGAGAGTGCAGTAGAAAAGCACACACACACACACACACACACACACACACACGATAGTTCTGTAGTTTTGCAGAGCTGATGATATGGATATTGGATTGAAGGACACAGTGTGTCTGTGTCCTCTGTCCACATCTCCCATAAGGAGCAGATACTGCCATTCAGTAGCAAGAAGAAGAACTTGATGAAACATGTCTTTACCCAGGAAATGAAGCAGAACATTTTTTTCTTGGTTATCAGATCTGACATTTTGCTCAGCAAAAATAACCACTTCGGAAAAAGCTAAATCTGAAGTGCCATGTCATTTGATGGCTTTTCCGGTACCTTGTGGGAAAAAGTCATGTAATTTTACCTTTACACTGAAGGTCAAAACGTGACAGTTGCGACCGACCAGCCACTGGATAGCCTCTGGTATGTAAATCTGGCTCTTTTACATGTCTGCTTAAAGAATTGCTTTCAGCCAGGATTCTGGGATATTCCAGACCACAATGGAATTGAACAGATTGCAAGCACCCAATCTTTGGTAAATCTCTTTTATCTCACCATCAAACACCAGGACTGATATAATGACGCCTTTTCATGGGCATCTAATTCAGGTGCCCTTCCCTGCTGCCTGTAGCAGCCACACAGCCAATAAAGGCGGAACAGGTCCAAGTCATTTCTAAGGAGGTCGTTAAAGCAGTGGTGAGCTGTTATAGACCCATTGTGGTGAGGGATATTTGCTGATTACACTTTCCTGCACTCCATGTAATTGTTGGCGAAACTCGTTTAGGACATTTAGACTATATGACACCTTCAGAGACCTTCACTGTATGTGCTCACTTAAGAAATTAATCACTACACTCATATTCTTGACCGGTACATCATATAGTTAGACAATGAAAGACATCACTGGAAAAGGTTCTGATATGTCTTTCTCCCTTGTGCCAACGAAAAAAAAAATCTAGCCCAGGCAAAAATACCTTGGAGGCAGCCTGTGTCTGTACAACAGAAATGCCATCAGATGTCAGACTGACTGAGAAAGAAGGGTATCAGAAATCAAAAGAAAATTGTATTGAAAATGTATTTACTTGCAGGACTAAATATCTGACCTTTGAAAATTCACAGTAGTTCAGGACACTGGGGGAAGGCCTTCAAGTATCAAGGAAAGACAGAAGATGAAAAAAATCTGTGAAATGTTTTTGCACCACACTGTTTGGAAACACGACCGAAAAACGTTCATGATGTGAGAGGCTAGCAGAGTTATTTGCGAGTTATAACATTTCTAATTACTACTTTCTTGTTCGGCAAAGCAGATTCTGTAGACTTCGTATACTGTAGCACGTCACAGCATAAATACACAGAGCAGTGTGTCGTTCCTGAACTTTCTGACAGGAATAATATGGCTGAATACATAATTACTCATGTACGTATTTCTCCTGTGGCTGAATACTGTGGATTGAATTCATAGTACGTTTAATGTCGGGCAGTTGTGTACCCAGTGGATGTGAATCTTTATCAGAATTGATGGTGCTTTCAACAGGCCCTGACATTAAGCAGCGAGCTAGTCGTAGGTATGGTTTATAACCAGTGTTTAAGTAACACTAAGGGGCACGTCCATGAGGAGACAGAAAGAGAAAACAGCTTTGGAGTGCTTTCTAGGAGATTTTAGGAAGAATTACATAAAACAACAACTGTAAATCTATTTCTTTATTGTGAGGAATCTATGTTGCTACTGTAAGGAAGACTTTCAACTGATGTAATATTTTCTTGGTGTTAAAATATGTATCCTACACAGGTTAAACTCAAAAACACATTTCAGCAGGATGCTACAGTAGAGGTTCCATCCATCCATCCATCCTACAAAAACTTGTATAGTTCAACACTAAGAACCCTCCGGAAAGAAACGCCCCCTATCTAGGCTGATTAAAATGTTATAACCGGGGAAACAGAGCTATAGATGAGGTATAGCTGGGATGCTTTATAGAGATGAAGGAACTATTTGTGGAGTACTGTATCTGGTTGAGTTCGACTAACTAAGGAGGGCTTGAACCTTGCAGAGTCAAAAGCCCTGTTCGACAGTACTTATTTATATGCTTTGGAAATAAATGTGATGATAGTAGTTTTA